GTCACAGAACAAGAAAATGCAAGGTCATGGATACGAGTGAGGAAAGAAAAGAAGGAAAGTTCCAAGGAAACTTCTGGAACACTGGAATGCTCACTTATCTTGATGCTGGTGGTGGTGGCTACGTGGGTTCAAGTTCACCAAATTTGACCTTGTGGATTAGTAGAGCATTCCACACACTTAGCTGTGTTATGTTCTAACTCAGATGAAAAACACACCAGACGACACTAAACAGATGGCAGGAATGGGAGGTTACAGATAAGCCAGGGGACATAGTGAAAATGAGCCACATGGGGACAGATTAGAGCTGGAAGGAACCAAATGCATAAACTCACATCTGGCTTAATACAGAGATGGGTGTACGTTGAAATCATAGTCTATTTACAAAGCAGTTTCCTAGATGGAATAGACTGGTTTGCACGCAACTACAAACTAGAAAGGGAGCCCTGGTGGCTTAGGGCTAAATTGTGCAGTCCATCCAAAGGTTCACAGTTCGAATCCACCAGCTGCTGCACATGAGAATGATAGGCAGTCAACTCCCACACGATCTGTTGTTGCTGTTGTTGTTCCACTCGGCCACCAGAGCTCCCATGTGAACTACTGCCTCTGAAAAGCTATTGAAGGGTCACTTGTGATTTGGCTCTAACTTGAGGGCACACAACTGAACTAAAAGGTTGGCAATTTGATGCCACCCAGCAGCGCAGCACAAGGCAGCCTGATGATCTATCTCCTTCGATCAAGATCCTTGAAACCTGGGGAGCTCTGGTGGCCTAGTGGCAAGGAGCTGCAACTACAATCCCAGAAGCGAACGGTTCAAATCCACCAGATGCTCTGCTGGGGAAGGAGGGACAATCTCCTCCTGTACCACTCAGATCTGATTTGACGGTACACGCACACAAAAATAATTAAAAAAAAAAAATTAAATTAAAAAAAAAGAAAAAGATCCTTGAAACCTGAACTATTGCCATCAAGTCCATTCCGACTCATAGGAAGCCTGTATGAAGGAGTCGGCTACCGGAAGGCAGCACATCCCTTAGAACAGGGAAGCTCCATGCTGCTGGACACTCTCTCTAACCTTGCTCTGTGAGTCTCTTCCTTTCTAGCATCTTGGTGGTAATAAATTTGTAGTTGTGAACATTGTATAATCATTCCAGGGAATTCCTGAACCCGGAGCAGTCGGAGGAGACACCCCATAAGGCTTTCAAGGCTGTAATGTGAAAGTAGACTACTGTGACATTTTCCCCCACTTTTGAATGTATGAACTTTATTTACACACACATGCTGACAATGGTAAATATGACAGGGTTCAGCACAGAGGCTGATGCATGAGTGGGATGGCCAACACTGTCTTCAAAGAGTAGATGACCACAACTTTTACCCAAGGAGCAGCTAATAGGTTTGAAGCACTGGCCTTTCTCTCAGCTCTGATGGCCTAGTGGCAAGAAGTTGCGCTGCAATCCCAAAGGTTCGCGATTTGAACCCACCAGATGCTCTGCTGGAGAAGGAGGGGCAAGCAATCTCCTCCTGTACCAGTCAGATCCAACTCGATAGCACACAAGGCAAAAAAAAAAAAAAAAAAGTGGAGACAAATGCCCCTCGTGGAAGAATCCCAAGTAACTTATGTAATTATTTCTCCCTTAAAGAAGCAAAAGCTGCATATGTGATTTTGTTCTAAAGAAAATAGATAGGATGGCGTGCTCGCTTTGGTAGCACGTGTACTAAAATCAGACCGATACAGAGAAGATTAGCAAGTCTCTGTGCAGGTATGACACATAAATTTGTCAAGTGTTCCATATTTAAAAGAAAAAAGAATACATGATGGAAATGAATTGTTTGGGAATTTGGTTTGGGTTTTTTAATTTGTTTATTTGTTTGTTTGTTTTCTTAAGAGAAGGACAATTTCACAGTGGAGAAACGTGACAAACTACCTCAGCCAGGTGATCAAGGTCACTGCCAGCTGTGGTAAGTCACACAGAGAGCTCTCATTCTTTTTATATAAAGAAAAAGACACTTTCCCTCTGAGACCTCCCTCCCAAACCCATCATACCCAAGTCTCATGAGAAAAACAACAGACAAATCCCAACTGAAGGTCACTCCACACATCAGCTGACCAGTGCTCCTCAAGGTCATGGAAAAACAAGGAAAACTGAGAAACGGTCCTAGCAGGAGCCTAAGGAGACATGACAGTTGAACATGATGTGGTTTCCTGGCTGGGTCCAGATGTTAAAGACCAAGGATATAGGGGGAAAATCATACGGATTTTAGTTAATAATAAAAACAGTCAAAGAGAAAAACCCCACTGCTCAGCTGAGTTGATGCTGAGTCTGGCGACCCTCCACCAGGATTCTGAGACTATATAAACCTTTACAGGAGGAGGCAGCCCAACGGGAGTGGGTGGCGGCTTTGAACCACTGACCTTTCAGTCAGAAAACCAGCATGTTGATGCACTAAGCCACCAGGTCTCCTTTCAACTAATAATGTATTGACAAGGGCTCATTAAGGGTGACAGATGTATCAAACTACTGCAACATGTTAATTAATAAAAGGGGTGCTCTAATCGGCACATGGGAACTCTCTTACGATCTGCATAACTCATCTGTAAACTCAAAGCTATTCTAAAAATGTTCAAGATGAGATGTGTGGGATGAGAAGTATACAGCCAGGACTCCGCGTGGGGCATAAGACACAGGAGGACAGACGACAGAGACAAGGTGGAGTGAGTCACAGAGGGAAAGGACAGCCAAGGGACAGAGCCACACGAGGGGAATGCAGGTAGACGGTCAGCCGTGGACGCAGGTGACAGGGAATTTGGATTAGAACCCCAGGTCGCTGGAAGGCCAGTGGAGAGTGTTAGCCGAACAGCCAGGACCTGCTCAATGTTGCTAAAGGCTCCTTTGGCTGCAGTGCAGACGGCTGGAGAGGAGCAGTGCAAAAACCGGGGCCACAGGCTCCCCAGGGTGCACTCCAGAAGCTTGGGTAGAGGTCGACCCCGCCTACAATGAGGTCAGAGCCCCCAGTGAGCACGGAGCTGGACTAGACAAGGGGGCTCTTCCTACAGACAGGAGCTGAGCAGGGCAGGCCGTCCTCCCTGGGTGACCCTTACGACAATGAAGTCTGGATGTTGGTCTGGGACACTGAGTCTCAGGGGAGGACAAGCCTCGGAGCACCCAGGGAAGAGAACCTCCTTCGAGGCTGACCTTCAGTTTTGCTTGGCCTCGTGATGTTTGACCAATGGGAGCCTGACTGGTCCCACTGAACCGCTGTCATCCACACGGCTTTCATTGTCTGATTTGTGAAACAGATCACCAGGCCTTCCTTACTCGTCTGAAAGCTCCATTAAAACCTGCTCCACATCACAGCAACACGAAGCCTCGAGGGACAGGCGGGAGGCAGCTACACCTGAGGTGCACTGGCCTGGAATCGAACCCAAGACTCCCGCAGGGAAGGCGAGAATCCTACCACTGAGCCACCACTGCCTCATCATAAGGCGCTCACAGAGAAAGCTCCTGCACCAGGCACCAGCCTTCATGGGCTGACTCCTCACAGGCCCGAGGTCGAGGTCTGATCCTAGACACTCAAGCCGAGGGGGCAGGTCCCCGCCGCAGAGCAGGCCCAGGAAGCACTTCTCCAGACATGGCCCCTCCACTGGGCCACACTTCCTGCCAGACACCTTCAGCGCTGAGGACACTGGGGCTGGGAAGTGGTCACCTCGCTCTGCATGTTCTCATCACCGACCACTCAGAACACTTCAGGCAGGTTATTTCCTCATGCAAAACTCCCCCCGGTTCCCTTCACCGCTGACGTGTGGACACCTCGCCCACTGGGTGGCCGGGGCTGTGTGGGGGCTGTGACAGCCGGCAGCTGCTCTGACTCAGCCCCCCCAGCCCCCCATCACAGCCCACGCACCCAGCCCGCTTGGCCCTCCAGAACTCTCCACCTCTGCTCTTGCACATTCTGCCCAGCCCCCAGCCGCCCAGGTCATGCCACCAGCCTGCAGCTCCCCATCAGGGTACAGCCTGGACCCCCTGACCTTTGCCCCAAATGACTGTCTTAAAAATCCTCAAAAAGCACCTTTTTATCTGATGCCTTCAGGGAGCCCCTCTCTGTGACATCGGTGGCTACACGGGAATGGCCTTCTGAGGGGAGGAGGGGACAAAGCTCTCCTCTCTGGTTGCCTCCTGCCTGACACCCTCCCTCCCTCCTTCTTTCCCTCCCCATCTCCCATAACCCACCCAGGGCTGTAAGCTCAGAACTGGCATCAAGGACTTGTTGAAGAAATAAAACTCCTTGGTTCATCCATTAAGCTTGGAGAAAAGCATTTTCATCAGCCAAAGATATGAAAGATGTCTCAGTGCCTTGTTTTCAAAAGCACCCTGAAGGATAAGGGGGTCTCACTGCTTCCCCGTAAGAAACCCCATAAAAATCTGCCTCACACAGGCCCAACACGCAGCGACAGTGCCTCAAATCGAAGATTCTGGGGCGCTAACTCAGGATTCTGAACAAAACTTAAGCCACCTTTGCCCTCACTTGCAAATTCTTCCTCCTCAAAGCAAACATTGTAGGAAGTTCGCCATTTTTTCACCTCTGATCCAAGATCACCGTTATCTAACAAAGTGTCCCAACTTGGCCCCGCTTCAGCGATTCCAGGGAGGCCTGTTATTAAAATCCGTAAAGCAGCAGCAGCTGGAGACCGCCAGGCGCTTCTAGAACATGTTTTATTAAAATCTTTGACTCTGGAGAGGCGGCCAGCACCCTCAGTCGTGACAGGCACGCGTTAAAACACACCAGCCACTCAGGGCACCTCCGAGCACACACGAGGCAGAGGAAATCAAAAGGAGGCAAAGCCTCCACAAATTAGCTTCATCCATCAAAGATCCCAGCTCTCAAAATCAAACACGCGTGGCAACGGTGGTGGCTAGGGCCACACCTGGCCGCTCCTGGCCAAACAACAAAGAGGAATTCCAATTTCCTCTGCTCTGGAGTAGACAAGGTTTTTCACTCACCTTTGGAGCGAGTAGAGATATCCATGCCCTCTACCACCTCTTGTTCTGTTTTTATTTCCTCTTCAGCCAAGCTGAAACAGAGCAAATGATGTTCATGCTTAGAAAGGGTAAGAACTGGCCCCGTGGAGAAGTTGTTAGAGGTTCCCTCAACAAACCCACCTTGCAGATAAGTCCCCCATCTTTATCTTAGGCAAGGGTGGGGCGCCAAGACCCCCACACTGGATTTCCAACCGAGTGTGTGAAGAAGGCTCCTTTATAAAGGAGATTTTTAATAAACACTAGGTTGTTCTCTGTCTCCAGTCAAATTGCTAATACAACTTGCATGGGGGGTGGGGAGAGGGGAAGCTTGTTTTGGACACACAATTACAATCTCACCACCAGCAGCCAATGAGAATCCAAGCCATTGGTAAACAAGTCTGCAATTGATAACACCAGGTTTGAAGGTTGGAGGTGTCTTGGGGAGGTGGGGAGGGTGTCCAAAGCTCTGATTTGTAAGAGTATTTTGTAGCTCTCCCCCTTAATCCTACAACCTCCCCCAAAAATCAGGAACATGAGAAATAGGCATACATGTTAAATTATAAAGTAGCAAAATACTCCCAGGCTTCTAAAAACAAAAAAGCCTAGTTTTAAACTATTCCAAATACCAGCATTTTACCCAAGAAGGAGGTCTGGGGTTCCCCACTCTCACCCCTGGACATTTCCTCTGGCAGCACTCTTGTGAGCTGTGACTAATTACCCCCCACCACAAAAGTGGAATCAGGAAGGATTATTCAAGACACAGCTGGGGGCTGGGGAGAGAAGTCGAGAAAGCAGGCCCTTTGCTGCAGAGGTCTCTTCATCCAGAATCTTCTTTCTCTCCGCTTTCAGCAGCAGCAAGCAGAACACACATCTCTCTCCCTCCCTCTCTCTCTCACTCTCTCTCTCTCTCTCTCACACACACACACACACACACACGTGCACACACACCCCTTCTAAGCCAAACCAGAGGAAAAAAAATAAAAGTGCAAATGGTCTCCGGTGCCAGAACTTCTCAAACATTCAGAATGACACTGAAGTGATAAGAATCTGAGCGATTACACAAGATGCAATTCCATCAGACTCTGGTTCAACCTGAGGAAAAGGGTGCACCAGGACTTGGCAGAGCTGGAATTTTCCATTTGGAAGACGCAGAGCCAGGGCAGGAAGGAAGCTGGGACGCAGACGAAGGATTAGAATGTCCTGTCTGTGTTCTGTGGGCTGGGGTTATGACAAGGCAAAAGATAGGTCCAAAATGGCACCACTCAGGCCTGGAGTTCCAGGCAGGGACGCTTCATGAGTTATGTTTGCTATTTATGGGAAGAGGAGGAATCAGAGGGTGAGCTACAGAGAAAAAGACTAAATCAGAATTAAATCATCAGAACTTAAAAGGCCGCTACCCTACATGGTACCAGAAGAGGAAAGGAGTTTAAATCCGGATATTAAAGCCCTTAGTACTTAACTGACCCTCATGCACAATTCTGCTTGTGCTTCATCTGTATAAAGCCCATGACACAAATCGACAAATAAATAACTAACAAATTGTTAGAAATGGTTTTCATCAGAACTGAGCAGCCTCGACACATCACTGACACGCAATAATAACAGGGTAATTTGAAGGTGATTTCACCATGAATACGTTCTACTTCAAGTTAATAGGTAAACATTCTCTTGGAAGAAGACCCCCGCCAGGGACCTTACACAGGTAATCCAAATGGCTTCTTGCTTGGAGTGACTGGAAAAAATTTGTTTATATGTTAGGGTTTGGGGTTTTTTTGTTTGGTGTGGTCGTGGTGTTATTTTTAAATAAATTTTAACAAAAGGTCATGTACAACCTTCAGAGATGGGGTGGATGGTTCAGTTCAAAAGAACAAACAGCCAGGCTGAGCCTTCCAAGCAACCAAAATTATGTGTCCCTCTTTAGCATGGAGTATGTGAAATCCTAAACTTCGTGAAATCAATCCAATATTTGGGGTGATGGAGACAAAGTTCATCTGTGATCCAACCCAAAAGTGTAATGGGGAGAAACCACTGTGTATAGCAGAGAAAAAAAACAAAACAAAACAAAACAACACACAACAAAACCAAAACCCACTTGAAGGATTTCTGCAGCAATGAAAACATTCAGAGGTGTATTGACCATGGAGGGGGGGACTGCACTGAAGAGAACAATTATTTGGCTTGTAACAGCCTACAGAGAAGCTGAATACTTGAGGCAGGAATGCTGCTGAGAGGCTAAGAGAATGCAAACTAGTGATGGGGGTGGCTATTTGCTGCAGAGTTTAAGATAATCAATTCTGAAACAGGAGGGAGGAGGGAGAAAGTTAAGCTGTTTTATCTTTCCAAGTATTACAAGTGAGCCTCATAATCACCTAACTTTAGCAACAGCACCACCAGCTTTAGCCAAGGATTCCAAGCACAACAATTTAAAGAAAACTATCTTTTGCACAGATCAACAAGGAAGCCTTTCAAAGGGAACCTGCACAAACCGCGCGCGCGGGCACACACACACACACACACACAAGCGCGCGCACACGCAAACAATAACTTGCATTTGGCTGAAGGAAACTGCACTGTCTGTGTATTAAAAGGAAGATGGGGCGGGGAAGATTTCATTTACAAAAAGCAAAGACCAGAATGCAAAATTAGTCATTCTGAATAGCCACATCTAAAGGGACTTCCTTTTTCTATACCATTGATCTTTTTTTTTTTTTTTGGTTTACTGTCAAGTACGAGGATGCAGTAGAGAGAGGAAAGAAAAAACCCACTATAAATTTTAACATCAAGCTTGACAGTTAAGAGAAGGCTTGTACTTGTCCTGAAAGCCACACAAGATCTTGGTCAATTTAGATTAAGAACTGTTCAGTCATATGTGAGTTTAAAAACAAACAAACAAAAAAAAAAAACCTGACACACACAAATCAACTGGTCAAATAACATTAATTGTTAAAAAGTAAAGGCAGCAGCATCTGAAGAAAACACTCAAAACTCCTGTCATTGACACACTCCAGTCTTCAAACACACACAGCTTCATCCTTCCATCCCTATCAGCCGGCCTCCAGCACTCCCCAGGATAACTTAAAATAAAAAACAATCACACAACACGCCCCTGGTTCAAACTCACATTACCTTTTTTTTTTTTAATTAGGTCGGCTGGGGAGATGCCTTCCCCCGCCCCTTGAAGGAAAGAAAGAAGTTAGCTGAAAACCAAAAAGCAGCTTCTTAAACCAACAGGAAAATGCAGCATCAACTAGTTGTATAGACTGTACACTGCCTTACAACCTCCATAAGCCACTTGCCTATGGATTCCACAAACTGGATACAGACAGGGCAGGCGATTCAAAGAAACCACCAGACCTGCAAACAGGAGTCAAGCCCAACCACTCCCAGAAAGGACAGAATTTCTCCCCTAGTGCCTGGGCTCGCTCCTTAACCTGCACGCACAGAGAAAGAGCAATTAAAAGTTGCAGATCAACTGCTGAACCTCCAGGATGTTTTAAGCTTTCTGATTATGAATTTTGAGGACTCAAGGTTGGTCCGTAATTCCCAGGAATGCCATCCTTTCCACGCTTTCAAAAGAGAGAGAAGAAAAAAGCATCTCGTTTTGACAGCAAAATGCCTAGATACACAATACCCAGACAGCTCTTTTCCCCCAAGTGCCTCTACTATCTTGACTTTTTAACCAAGAATATCTAACCCATGTAGAATACATAACCAGCATGCACAAGACTGTCCACAGAGAAGGATCACAGCACAGCAAGAATCATGCATCATGCCAAAGGAGTTTTCTGCTGGTTTTCACTTTCATTCACAACACAAAACTGGTCTAGGCTGTGAGACACAGTGAATCCCAAGACACAACTTCCTCTCCTAGATGACAAAAGAGTCAACAGCAGAAATTTCTTTTAAAAAAAAATAAAATTTTAAAAAAAAATTAAAACCATGCTTCTCTAAATCTGCAATTAATTTAAGAGGGGGGGTGGAAAAAAATGGGGGGGTTGGAGGGAATGGTTAGCAGAGCTGTGTCTGAACACTCACCTAACAGGCAGAGGCATCGGGAGCTAAGCTATTTATGCAGGATTCTTAAAATGGCGTCTGGCAACACTGCCTCACTCCAGAAGCTAAAATGGTAGCAGTTTGTTCAATAGCTGTAGCTGATCTTCAAGCAGCCCTGCCAGCCTTCCTAAATATCAGAACTAGGAAAAGCTCAACCAAAGGACACCAACCCAACGTTTAGATGCTTTAAAAAAAAAAAAAGGAGAGAGAGAGAAGAAAAAAAAAACCCTGCAATGACAGGGGGAGTTTGTGAAGTCACAAGTTCCTAAGGAAAGCCCTTTTCCCTCACAGAGCCGAATCTTCAGTGGGAAGCTCTGGGACGAGGCTCCCCCCAGCCTTGGCCCTCGAATTGGGTGGGTGGGAGGCTGGGAATTATATGCAGCCCTGTGGCATGAATTGCAGACAGACAGACAGGTGTATCCTTAACATTATAAGGTTAAGGAGAGCAGGCTGGGGAGGGGGGAGGAAGCCCAGGGCCCCTACTCTCAGGGTATCAGAAACCAGCTTTGCATCCATACCAAACGTGCTTCAAGGGCAGCAGGCATCTGCGAAAGGCAAGCTAAGGACTGCACGCGGATCTGAGGCCAAAGGAAAATGAAAAAGCTTGTTTATATGCCTGAAAACGGCCACCAAACCCCAGCCCTCCAAAGCGGCCAGTTGCTAAGATAGTTAACGTCAAGGAGAGGGGATCCCAGTCTGCAGAGGAGAAATGCAAAGGAAACATTCACTTAACCAACACACAGGACGCTCCCAAACGAGGTTTTCCCCCCTGTCCACCCCAAGCAGGGCCCTGGGCGTGAACAATGGAGATTTTGCAAAACCCGATTTTCAGAGACCGAACTAAGAGCCAGAGCTCCTACTGCTGCTCCAGTCTGAGCTGGGGCCTCAGGTCTCCTCTGGAGTGAGGCGTTTCAAGGTGACTGCTTTTTAGCTCCAGGGGAAAAGGAAGGCACGGTGCCCACGGCGGTGCCAAGGCCAGACCAGGATCCTGGCATGGCGCCGGCCGGTAGGTGGGTGATCTTGCTGGGGACAGCCAGCCTGGCAGCACTGCTGGCCGCAGAGGCTACATGGCTCCTGCTGGCTTGTTTGTCTGCAAGGAGAACGGGGAGGAGGGGGAAGGGCCATGGCAGCCTTAGCAACCTGAAGCCAAGGGTGAATCCTTCACTTGTTGTGTTTTAAGGGCAACCAAAGGGATTCGAAACCTATTCCCTTATTACAACTCGGCTGGTGGAGGCCAAAGGCAGCTTTTCCAGGCTCTCTTTTTGTCCCCCAGGGTCAAACCAGAGGCAAACCTAGATCTAGGTTGGGAGCTGGGCTGACAGATGTTTGCTGCCTGTCACAGGAGAAAGGAAGCAAAGCCATCACATTTAAAGTGGTTGGACCTTTAAAAACCTACCTTTAGCTTGAAGGTTTTCTAGGTGTCATCCCCTTTTTTTTTTAAAGTGACTCATTTTCTCCTCATTCTCCCTATTTAAAGTACTGAAACAGATTCCCCTCGGGTTCTCCAGGGGACAAAAAAGGGGGATGTTTTTGTTTAAAAGAAAAGGGGTTTTTACAAGGGCGAGAGAAGGGGGGGCTATTGTTTTCATCCCTAATTTATAATCCAAGAGGCCTCATTGTTTCTTTCTTTCTGACTCAAATCTTTGAACGGTTAATTATAAAAGTAACTGGACTTGGCTCCAGTGGGCTGTGTTCATGCTCAGCAATTAGAAAAACTCAGCAGAAAGTTTACTGAGTGATTATATATAATTAATTCCTAGTTACAGACTGAACGCTGACCATTTTCTGGAGCTAATAAGCGCAGTGGCTTCCCCTCCCCCACATGAACGCCACTTAATTTCCCAAAGCAGAAAGTAAATCCATCATGGAGGGTCTTGAAGGAAGGGGAAAGAGGATAAAAAAAAAGGGGGGGGGGAATGGAGGAATCAAAAGCTCCAGTGTGTCTGTGTTTGTTCCCTGCAGCTGAACACCCTCTTTGGGGACTAAGGAGACAGAAGGGAAAAGAGAAAACAGCCCAGCATTCTGTTCCTCCCTCTGCAATTTATAAACGTGGCAGAGGGAACATTCTACCTTGATGTTAAAAAAAAGAAAAAAATGGACAAGAGGGGAGGGGAGAGACCCTAGGAATGTTGGAAACCTTCTCTCTCCAGCTTGGTGGATGTGCTTTTCCTAAGGAACAAAAATGGTAGAAATTTCCAGAAGGCCCATTCTCAAGCCAGCTCCTGCAATTGTCAATCTTTAACCTTTGCTCTGAGTCTATTGGTTCAGAAGCTGGAAAAAGGAAGCCCATTGGGCTGCTCTGGGAGGCAGTACACTGCTGTCCCGACCTAGCCCTGCTGCAATGCAGGCATTCCCCCCCCCCCCTTTCTTTCCTCTATAGTGCAAATGGAAAACAATGCTACTTGGAAGACAATTAACTTTTTGATAGACTCATGCTTTGGTGGGTGCCACTGGAGCAGAGGCAAGAGGCTGGCGTGGTCCAGGGCTGGCAAGGAACGGTGGCTGTACTACGGAAGAAGACCTCTGCTTTCCAAACCTGTGGGAGCCATTTTTACACAAGCTTTTAGAGGGCAAATGCCTTGTCCTCAAATTTCCTTCCAGCCCAGCAAACAGTATTATGCAAACACTGGAGGCACCAAACCATAAGTCTTGTGATTAGATATTGCTTTAGGGAGGCCATGAGAACCTCAATATATAATTTCCATTTAGAGCAAGAAGATAAGAACAAAGAAAAGGGCTGAGTGTCTCAACTTACTTGTATGGGGGTGGTAGTATTGTTCAATTTCAAGTATTTAACATCCTTAACTGCCTGGGCCTTTTACTTCAAGAGGCTGCTGGCCTGCCTGACGCAGTTCTTTCTCAACTTAGAATCTGGTACATGTCTCCCTTATTTAAAGGAACCTTATTTCCAAACCAATGCTAGAAGGTGGACTGCTGAACACTAACTTAAGAAGCATTAAAAAAAGAAAGAGGGGCAAAAAAGAGAGAAGATTGTCTTCATCAAGTTGGCATAACACAGCAAGTGAACATACTTTTTGCATTTACAGTCACGCTGAATGGGCCCCCAAGCTGGAAATTTATGGCGTGAACTTGTAGGGAAATTCTGAAGGTAATCCTAACCAAAAATCTACCTTTACTCACTGGCAAGTTCTAGCTACAGCATTAAGGAAGCAAGGGAAATGTTTGGGGCATGGGGAAAATAAAGTTAAGAAATAAATCATGAATACTGATGTGTGAGGTCAGCCTGGGGAAAAAGGCAAGAATCTGTGGAAGGAGTCTTGCATCAAACCAAGTCTAGCAGTGGTGATAGTTTTGTATCTTGATTATCCTTAAACATATGTACTGACACCCCCAGCCCTGACTCCCACCCCCACCCCACCCCCAGCTCCTGCCCCTCCAACTTCCAAGGCTCTGTCACTCTAAAAGAAAACACATTTCCCAAGCAGATCATCTACCCCAAGTTCTTATACCCAAACCAACCCAGTCAAAGGTCTAGAATCAAGTCACAATGAACTGAACATTTCTCCCCTAGTTGAGGGCAAACAGGAAGTGTAATCTTCAATCCTAGCTGTGGATAATCTGGAAAAACAGTAGATTCAAACAGTCACCTAAGATCGAGACACTATTAATTTTTTCTTAAAGTTCTTGTTTTATTACCAAAAATAAACTCCCCAAATGCTAGAGCCAAGACCCTCCCTTCCCTATTGCAAGCAAATACCCAATGTCCCCAAAACTCCTTCTTGCATGGTCACAGAGGAAATGGACTGCTTTACTTACCCACCAAATGTTCAAGCAAGCGTCTCATTTTTCCAGAGTTAGGAAGAGAGAACAAGCTGGCAGAATGAGGACTTGATCAAAAAGGAAATTTTTGTAAAAAACAGTTACATGGGATTGCTAAATACACCCATACAACGCGCAACACACACATCCAACACAACTCAACTGAGGATGGGAAACTGTCAGAGCCACAGACATGATTTTATTTCCTCTGCTCTAGCACAGGAGGGCAGAGGCTACAGTGTGGGGTGTGCTTTTTAAAAAATAAATAAAAAGAATGGAAGAAAACAAGGAGAGAAGATACATTAGTTCATTGAAAACCATGCAAGAGGATAAAGCTAAGGGGTCAAAGAGTCCTCACAGATTTATTGCAGGATGTTGTCCAACATGCCCCCATTCTCCCCCCCCCCCCCCAGCTCCATTCCTACTCCAAAAACTTCCTCCAACGCCCAGAAAACACTTTGAGAAACATTTGCTGGCTGTAGGCTGGCTTGCAAGAAGACTCTGAAATCAAGCCCAGGTCAGGAGAAAAAGGCTTGAACCAGGTAAACTGCAGCAAGCAGTGAGAAAAGCCCTGAATGAACAGACCACGCTTGCATTCACCACCACCCACCTAGGCCCCAGCAGCAACAGCTCTCGCCTTGTGCTCTGCTGAGGGCTTGGTGCTCTCTCTGACAAACACACATCCTGCTTGTCACAAGTGAGTTAAGCCTGCCCAGGCCCTCTTTGGAGAGGTAAACTTGCCTGCTTTGCTGTCTGCCATGAGCCTGCCTTGGAGACAAGCCTGCCTGCTTATCTTCCATGTGACACAAGAGACAATAGTGCAGGGGGAGAA